TATATACTGCATCTGGTAGATATAGGGTTACCGACTTTCTTTAATTAAAAATAAATAATTTGTAATATGTTTCTGACATTAATTGTTTTATTAAATATATTCCAGTGGATAATAGACAAGAAAACTTGAAAAATTGTAAGCTGACATATAAAGGCCATTTAAATATTATAAATTATTTATTGTCTTCTTGTAATGAGCGAAAAGAAAAAAACACTTTTATGCTGCTTGTACTTTTCCCGTTGTTGTTTCTTAGTGTGATTTAACTTAGAGCTTGATGATGATTAAATGACAAATTCATTGCGGATAATAATTGGTTTATATTTATGCGAAAGCATTGTTTGAATTCATAAGGAATTTAAATTTCTTTATAACAATACATTTTTAAAAAATCTGTATCGACTTTTATGATTCTTTTCGGTATCGATTATATTTACTCCCGTCTTGCTTTCAAATTAATTTAGTTACGGTGGGAAACTTTGTTTTGCTGTGCAAAATATTAAATTAATTGAAATACGGTGGGCAACCCTGCGTAAACTCGAGCACCCGACATGTAATGTGATATTAATGCCAGACATTTGCCACACCTATTGAAATACTGCGGGTTACTCATCCATCTCGACTCCAGTAACGATGTGTTTGTATATATTTCATTTGGATCAGGAATATAATCCAGAATTTCAGACTACTTTGTCTTTTCAAAATAAAATAAATATATTATCGTATACTCGTCGGTGGGTGTCGTAAGAGGCGACTATGGGAAGTTAATAGTCAATGGATGGGCAGCAGCGTCCCTCTTAAAACATCACCCATAACCTAACTACGGTTGCCAACTCGCCTGCCAAGCGTGGCAACTACTAGCAAAACCCTCTTTATGGGGGAGGCATATGCTCAGCAATGGACGGTTAACACCTGATATGAATTATGAATAAATCATAGTTTACCTAAATAATTCGGTAATTCCCGTTTCTTATAAGATATATTTTGAGTTAATACTCTGAGTATTGGTGGTTAACTGTCAGTAAGTTAATTTACTCTTAGGCGAATATTACGATTATACATACTTAGATATTATTTGCTACAGAAGCCATAGAAGATTGCAACATGCTGAAGCATGACCTGTTCGGGCAGCTTCAGTCTAAGAGCGAGATCTTATTATTTCTTCTCTTATTCATTCGTAGACGTGATTTTGTTATGAAAAATGCACTGACAATGTCGATATATGATTGGCTTGTATCAATCCACTATCAGGCGGATAGAGGAACACAATCGATTAACATTATCGATTAGATCAAACATGATGCATTGATAACATTATTATTTTCGAAATACTGCTCTGTTTTGAAATTTATTTATTTTTATCAGATGTAAACTTTGTACAAAATCATCTCGTTGAGTACATTTATCACATTCCTGTTTCTATCGCTATGCAACTGTCTTGATGTCAAGGCTGTGTGAGAGGATTAGAGTTCAACTCACGTTTTTTTTTTGTTCTATAATATAATATAACGATTTCAATTCACTGTGAAACTGCTTAACCAATTTTAATTAAATTTTGTCAATGTATATTGCAATGGACATATAACATAGCTCGAAGAACCGACAACCAATTGGGATGAATGGTTCTTGAGTGGAGACCTTGTACAGGCAAACAGTGTAGGACGACTTCCCACTTACTAACTAGAGTGACGATCTCAAATACATTGCAGGTTATCAGTGGATGCAAATACCTCAGGGCCGTTCCTTATGACAGTCTATGGGGGAGGCTTATGTCCAGCAGTGAATGGATAATGGCTCATATATATAATGATATTATTTACTAGAACTTGAGAACTACTCCAAGTTTTTATCCCGACAAGTGATTTATAGGCCTTACACTATAGAGGGCAAAGTGTTTGCCGGGTGAGCTAAATTTAGATTACAGAGACACTAAATTTAGAAAAAAAGGCAATAAGTTTTAAAAGTAATAATTAGTTCATAAAATTCCCTTTAAAAATGAATATAAGTTTGAAAAATAAACAAAAAAAAATACTAATAAATCGTGATGATGATAATATTTAATTATTGCTATCCGTATATTATCTAACACTCCCGTTGACGAGGACTGCGTTGTGAACGGCACCGGTAGCGTCTAGATCAAGGCGACAACCGTCACACCCCACTGCCCGTCTGTCCTCTTTTACTTTCATCACAAACTTTTGTAATATCCACTACAAGGTACTACAAACCTTAATTCAATATGTTACGGTTGGTATCTGATTGCGGAATCAATAGTGGCGCTAAAACGTAAATGCAAATGGCAAACCTGTTCGCTTCTAAACATTATTGCGTTGTTATTAGTTTTCTCTCAATAATAAAATATTTAATTAAAATGTAGCATCGCGATTATTGAGCGAGTTAGAAAAGAGTGGGGGTTCGTGTACAGGACGGAATTTATGCTTAATTGCATTCTCTGTCAGTCAGTGATATCATTGAATCCATGTTTCTTTAGTAAATATGAGTTTAGCGGAATGATTAAGAAAAAGAAATGTTGAGGATGCTCAACATTTCTTGTAACATGCCGCGTCCAACTGTCAAGTTAGCTCTTAAATTTTTTGCCGTTTCAAAAATCAATAATAAATAGAGATTGCAATTAGGTTTACTCCCTGCTTTATGTAAATATGAAAATGGATCTCATTGGTGCGATAAATTAAGCTAAGCGATGTGTGCACGTTACCGGAAGATATCTGAAACATAGTGTGAAGGTCTGACGAAGGTCGCGGCAAATTCTGAATTTACCTCCATTATTAACGACGTAGGACGTCTATTATTTGGTTGTGTGATTACAAAGAAAAAATGAGATTACTATAGTTATATTATACTTTATAGATAAACGTTTTATTCATGTGATCTAATACTATTCAATGTACTAAAAACCGCAAGATTCACAATTTCACATTTCTCTACAAAATTGACGCTTATAAAATGTTAACAATAAAAAAAATATTATCGTATGCCAAAACATGATTGAACTTTTTAAAAAATATTAAATTGGAGTCCATATGTTATATTTTTTTTCTAAATTTCCGTACCTTGTTATTTCCAGTTTTATAAAAAAAATGTTTGACTACAGGGATCACAGAGTGATTAATAAATATGTGCATATTTTTGTTGAATGGGCTTTATTTTCATTGTTTTTTTTTATCTGTGGTTGTATATCGCGGGTTACAAACAATAAATCGATTTCATTTGTGGCAAAATCGAAAAATTATTTTAATTTAAAAATTAAACTTCTAAACTGATCTTGATACAATTACAAGGGGATCAATCTAAAAGTATATCTTTTTAGATAAAATAATAATCTTCTAAATCGGTTTATAATTAACGGAGTTATGTGTTAAAAAATTAAAAAAAGTATGACTGAATTTTGAACTATTTTTTTTAAATTCTGATGAAATATTAGTAATTTTATATTTTACTATGTAACAGCCTAAATCCGATATATATATATATATATATATATATATATATATATATATATATATATATATATATATATGTATATAATGTAATTCCATTTAAAATTTTAATAAAAAAATATACATTTTTAGGGGCTTTAGACTAAATTTTTTGAAACATAGATATAATAGGCATTAAGTGATCTGAGATTTAAGAATTTCGTCTAATTAATTTAACTTCACGCCTGATTCCTTACAAAGTAGGCAGAGAGAACATTACCGTTATTCTTACTTTATTCGTACATTTATAACGCATATATAGGCACACGCCAGTTTCAAGGATTATTGATCCTCTGTCAGACAGCATAGTTTGATTTATTATTTTTGCTATACACAGCAGAGGACAATAAAATATGTAGGCTAGGCTGAAACGACAGCAATTAAACTGTTTTTAAAATAAAATATGTCTAGAATAAATGTTAACGATATTTTCTCTTCTATGCCACACGCTACATACGAAGGTGAATGATCTCAAATGAAATAACACGGTAAATGAACATAGATTTATATAAATACCTATACTTATAACTAAAATGATTATGTAGGTATCTAAGTGTTAACTATTTATTATGAGTTTTTTTTAATTAAATCGCGTTTTTATCTAAAAGCGAAGCAATTTGAATACATACCTCACTTAATAGTAATCACTCAATCAGGTCACAAGGAAAATTATGCAATTAATAAAATAAAAAAAAAAAAATTATCGCCTATTTTAGCTAAACTGTTAACAGTCGTCTATATACATGAACAGCACCACGGACACGAAGGAATGCAATGTAATGCCTATTATATCACATGTTTTTATTTCTGATAATTTAATTGCAATATCTCTTTCAAATCGAGACACAGCCATACAAATATAACTGCTTGGCAGCAGAAGCAGGATTACGAAGTAGATGCCCCTCTAGAAGTGTTTTCTGGTTTCATTTCACCCTATGAAATATCTAAATGGGACTCTATACAGTAAATATTCTTTTGTAGATATAAATTATGAAACCAATATTTTTAGAAGCCTGTAGTTGACAGATAAATTTAGAAATTACGCCATCGTATCATCGACTAGTCTTACACGTGTTTAGTTATGCAATTCACTCAATTCAATGGATGGAGTTACAAGTCTGTTTGGCGTAATTTTGTTTCTATTGCTGTCAATAAAGCCTTTTGAATTTTAAGTGATAAAGGAGGAGGTTCTCTATTTGTAACTTTTTTATGGCCATGCTAATACTTGTTGCGACTGATAGGGTTCACTGCATATTAGTTTTGTGACAAATGATGCAACTGTTTTTTTTAGATTTAAAACAACTACGATATTAGAGGCACGGTTTTGAGTTCTAAATAGAAATATATTGTGTGTGAAGTGGTGTTTTATTCTAATCTTAAATTATCTTCTTCCATTCTTTATGTCTTGGTGTAATCAAGTCTAACCTTTCAAAGACGTTCGTGGATAAAACAAACGATTTGACATTTCTTTCTATTCTATTCATCTCATTTTTTTTTTATTTTCAGAGGGATGACCGGTCGTTGCTAGCGCAGTTCTTCTTCGCCGACGATGCACTCAACATGGTCGCGACGGAGTTGGATTCGTTTGACGGCCGGAAAGACCCGGAGAGATGCTCTACTCTTGTCAATCAGCTCAGGCATGCGCAGGTTAGTTGAAATAAACTTTTCATACAGTCTGAAATGACAAATATACCGATGACATGAAAATCATTATAGACTTCATAGAATATACTGTGATACTCATGATAACTATTATGCTATTATGTTTTTTATCTGGTAATATTTTAGTGCCCTCCCAATATATCAAATTTCTTGACTAATAGTTGTTATTATTTTAGTTTAATTGTTATTAAACAAATTAACGTTTCAGAAGACCTTAAGATATGGGTATATATAAAATATATTTTATCTATGATATGGTTTTGTGGCTTCTATATATAGCATTTTAAGAGCAATCTGAATAAAATAATCTCACGTCATAATCAAGGGTAAATAAAACGGTTTGTTTACTGTATCATATAAGCGATAACAGGGGTTAGGTTAGCACTTTTTTAATTTTACAACATTGTACATATATAACATAACATTAATATAGACTTCGATTATATATCTAAGTAAATTAGACGTACTCACGACCTTCTTCGCGTATAGTATTGTCGTACCTACTGTCACCATCAATTTTGTACTTACTGGATTTTTTCACACTTATTTATTTTACGTTTTTTTTTTAAATCTATTGTAATATTTTATTTTTTGTAGCCTATGCATAATAAATTGCTTTATATAGTATTTTTATGTGATATGTTACATAGGTAAAAAAATTGAAAACATCGTTTTGTCTTACAACTTTTCGTAAAATATTTAATGGCGTCCATTTTATTATATGTACATATATAGAATTATGTACGGTATAATAATATTGACAAGATTTGGTCTCTTCTATTGTTTTAATATTATTCTTTAACCTCATTTCTCAACAAGTGTTGCGACCTCGTAAGTCACAACTTTGTACATCGTCATCAACAATTGTTCATGATGCTGTAAATTGTTATAGCTGTAGTAACTGATTGTATTTTATTATTTTGTGACGAAATATTTGTAATAGAGACAAATAAACTTCTAACGTTTCATTATTTCGATGTTTATTTATTACAAGAATTTAGTGTTGCATGTTCAGATAATTAATTTTCAAAGTGAGTGATAATGCTTCCTTCAGAGTGCCTCTGGTAGCGTTAGAGGCTGCCTGTAGGGGGCGTTAATACTAGGTTATTGGGCGGCGATAAAAATTCGCGGAAAAATGAGAAGTGTTCATGTTTTGTTAAATGTTGTTTATAAAGTTATGTTTTAATTATTTTATAACAATCTCAGGAACAGTCTCAATTGAAATGTAAGTTGGAATTCGGAAATAAAATAAAATAATTATAACACGCCATGATTAAATAATAATTATAAGATGCATTGCGATTATAATTTTCAAGATGTAGTAAAGTTAAACATTTTATGAGATGCTAGAAAATAATTGATTCTCAAAGGGGACTATCGGCAGACGGGTTGGCAACCGTAGATAGGCTTTGATGAAGTTTGAATGGGGATGCTGCTGCCGATCCCTCAACCATTGAGTTCACTTAATCGCCTCTTATGACACCTACGGAAAAGAAGTGGGTGACCCAATCTATGCCGGGACCATACGGCAAACTCTTACGAGAACTAATCTAATAAACATGTAGGTATAGTTACCGACGCTTGTACTGATACTCTAATACGGGGTTACCCATTAAAAAAAGTATGACTAAAGCCCAATAAATAATTATAGAACTGTAATTTGCGCTATACCGTCTCCTCATAAATCATTACAATTAAAATTTCGTGGATCAATGAAAATATTAATTAAACAATAACGTTGCTTTTGCGTCGTTACAAACGTTTTAAATTAATGAATTTATCGTAAACATAAAATTGTTATAATTTATGGAAGTGGAAATATATATACAATTATCAGATATAAAGTTATACCGTATAAATAAAATAATGGAGGTTGCATTCACGCTTCGCTTAAAGGTTGCTTAATCTGCTTCGGAAGCAGAGCCTTATCAGTATTAAACAGTGCGGTAACTGTGATTTATTTAGCAAGTGTTGGCATCTATCTTTTAATATCGCTGTTCGGAATGCAAACACGATCCACCTAGTTGGAATTATTCAATGCATTGACATATGGTTTACATCACCGAATATTCATTACCGAAATACATTCCTTAAAAAATTTTATTTATAAATAGTGTCTCCATTTTTTTTTATTCTCAAAAAAAAAGGTTGATTTTGTTATAAGAATTTTATGTTTTTAATTTATTAATAATTTTCTATTTTTTTTTTGAAACCCTATTAATGAATACGAACACTAGTTTGAGGAATGGGTTATATTACGAGTAATCGTGATGATGAAATTACTGCTCTACTTATTCCTGTATCAATGAAATGGCTAAGCGCCATTCCTAATAACCCCCCTGTTTCTTATTCTTGTATATTGCTACCAATGAGACTATATAATGAACGTTAGTAAATGTCGGTTTTAAATAACAATTCTAATGCCAACAATTTCAGTATGTTATAATTTTGTAGGCGTACGTAGTAACGCAGTCTAGGACGACCCCCCACTAGATGGAGTGACGACTTGAAATGCATTGCAGGGAGACAGTGGATGCAGGTGGCTGTGGATCGTTTTTTATGGCAGTCTACTGGGGGGGCTTATGTCCAGCAGTGGACGGACAATGGCTGCAATGATGATCATAATTACTTAGTAAAAATAATTCACCATACACCATAGTTGACCATAACGACGGTATGAAATATTGGCCTGCATCTTTGAAATTACGTTTCGTGGTAACGAAAACCAGCAAATCACCCGACCAACGAATTGAGTTCAACTGTGCAAGCTACTTGAAGCTACTCGGAAATATAATGCGGTCTTGCGTAGTTTTTTTTTATTCAATGACTCATTCGCAATCAAGTTGTATGGAGGTCGGTTGATAGTGTTCATAATAACAAAACGTGCCATGTGGTTACCGGTCTTGGGCGTTATCTACTACCTTGAGTTAGGTTCCAGTTTGTAGTCATGCTTTTTTTGTTTCAATAAAATATACATATTATTATCAGTACGGTTTGTTGGATCTTATCATAAATGATTTAATTTGTATAAATTAAAGTTAAATGTTAATCGTTCGCAAGCGAAATTTTTGAGAACAGCTGGACCCAATAGACGTTTTTTTAGTTTTTTTTTTAATATGTTTGATTTTTTTGATTTAGACATTTTGATTCGAACATTTTAATATGATTAATTTGTCGTTTGCGAACAAAATGTCCTTGTCGTTTGAATAAAGTACTAAAGCGCAGATCTTTAGTTTGCTGAAAGATAACTTGGGGTTAAGTTGTTTTGTGTTATTGTCTAGTTGTACTTAAGTAAATGTGTAAGCATACAAGTTTTCTTTGTGGTAAACAATAAACAGTCATTTGGAACCGTAAACCTTGACTAATGCGTGACATAGAACGTTGAGTTTGGTGATAATATACCTATTTTGTTATCATTACGAGGTTACGTTCAGTATTGTTTTAGTAATCAATTTATTTAATAATACTATCTTAACGGCCTGAGTAATAGTATCATAGTGTGAGGAATAACCAGTAATTTAATGCCTTTGGCATGTCCCGAACGATTCCAAGGCAATTTGGGACGCATTGCACTGAAATGTTCTATGGACGGTTGATAGGAAAATATTCTTTAGACTGTAATAGAATATTGAAAGTTACTAATAGTACATTTCTAATATTATAAATTATAAAAATAAATATAAAGATTAAAGAAAATATTTCGATATTATTCAATTTACATATTGTGATTAGGTAAAAATTTGGCACACAAATAAAGTTCTTTATGTTGTATCCTGCGCCCGCGTAAGTCATATAAAATATCTTGGGTTCTAAATTAGGACATAACCTATCCATGTACCAAATTTCATTGAAATCCGTTCAATATTTTTTGTGTGAAAGATCAACAAACGTTTATCTATCCTCACAAACTCGCATTTATAATAGAGATAGGTAAATCGGAAAGACGTTTTAAATCATATATAATTCTTTTTGTTTCAACTATAATGTAGTTGATATTATTCACATCATAGTATGTACGTATTTATAGGCGACGCGACTACTGCTACTTCCCATCAGGCGGCCTGTCAGTTCATTTATTATTTATCAGTATTTGTATAGAAAAATGACACTAAATAAGGATCTATTTTATTATTATCGATTTAGACAACACTGTAAATAATCAATTACTGGAAATCTGTGTTGTTATATATTACTAGTATCAATATTATCGTATTTATTCATAAACGTTATCAATTTTAACTGGGTCCGGAGTTGTTTTTTTTTTAGGATAAATTATAACGAGGTAAATCGTAATGGTATTTATTGTGCGACCAAAGAAAACAACCCTGGAAACCTTCAGTACATTATACTATGAAATACAATGTAAAGTTTTCCTTGTATCATTATCGAGGAATTCTAAGAATTAAATATACGAGTGTGTTAATAATTACCTATACCCGTATCCTGTATTCCGGGAATGTGTTACCGAAAGAAGGCCAGCTGCTTTTTGTATATTTTATTTCGTACTAGCTACTCGGATTTAGCTAGATTATAAAACAAAACTACAACCTATAATCATCATCATTTTAGCCATTATCCGTCCACTGCTGGACATAAGCCTCCTCCATAGACTGCCATAAAGAACGGTCCTGAGCCACCTGCATCTACTGACTCCCTGCAATGCATTTCAGGTCGTCACACCATTTAGAGGGTGGTCGTCCTACACTGTGTTTACCCGTACACGTTCACCACTCAATAATCTTTATTCCCCATCGGTTGTCGCTTCTTCGAGCTATGTGACCAGCCCACTGCGAACTCAGTTTGTTTATGTCGGTTATGTCCGTTATTTTGGTTCTTTTGCAGATATCCTCGTTTTGGATTCTATCTCGCAAAGAGACTCCGAGCATAGTCCTCTCCATAGCCCGCTGAGTAACTTTTAGTTTTTGCATATGGGTAATCGTGTAGGACCATGTTTCGGTTCCATAAGTCATCACTGGCAACACGCAGTGGTTAAAGACAACCCATAATACTGGCTGATAATGGAAGCAAGAAAACCGATTAAATAGACTACTCGTATAAGGCGTATCAAGATAAAACACATCAGATTTTAGGTTCGACTTTCGCGAATACAAATATAAAAAACCGAAACAAACAGATGGATGATTTTGACCAAGTGCGATTTCTATCTTACATTGACACACTCAGAAAGCATTTTAAAAAATGCTTCTTTCTATATTTCGGGGGCAGGTTTTTTGGAGAATCGTAGTTGAAAGCACATCTGAAAGATTCACGATGTTGGACAGAGATTGCATTAGCTATAAATAAAAATAGCATTAAATAAAATAACGCAGACAGACATATTTTAAAGGCTTTTAGTAAGACTCCTGATATTAATAGCATAAATACTTAGTATTTTTTATCTTATTTACTTCAGTAATATTTTCAGCGTCCTAAATAATCTAACATGATATTTAAACATTATTTAACTTTACTTAGCTACTATTTTTATCGAATGTAAATAAAAATAAATTGATATTGGTGACGTAAACATAGACGGATAGCAAATTCCAATAATGATTGATGTGAATTGAATGAGTCATGATATTTCAATTGTCCTGTACGTCACATCTGAGAATAAGAACTGTCACATTTAAAAATCTGTAAACGGCTACAGGTGACTGCCCACACATTCAACGTTCTCAGGGTTAATGAGTACGAAGTCGTCATCGGAAGTTTCCGTACAAATATGTTTGGCAATTTTACGGAGATAAATTGATTTGAATTTGTGTGGTCTAAGTTTGATATGGCAATACAAAAAAATCATTGATGTCTCACTGACGAATTGTCTCCTGTAAGCAGTGGATGTTAGCTCACTATCACGCTGATCAGGTCGTTTGTTGCTTGTTACTGCTACTGTTGTATTGTGATTTTTTCCTTTGGTCACCACTTCAATATCTTGGGGATAAAATGAAATTTATTTTATTATCTCTTTAATATAATAAAAATGTTAACCAGCTATATTTAAGACTATACTTTGTCAGTCCAAATCCCATTTGCTGTGGCTCCACAATTCCAAGACACGCCTCTGAACATCTCTAAAAGTATTGGGATTCTTAATGTTGACAAGTCCGTTCCGTACAGTTCCGTGGCCATCTCGGAAGATAAGGTGAAGCAAGCATTCAAAAAACTTGGTGTGCTTAATAGAGCAAAGCTTCACGTCGGATTAACGATTAATGCTCTATAAATCGCAAATCTGGCCCCACATGGAGTATTTCTGTTACTTATGGACGGGAACACCTAAATACTAGCTCAACCCCTTGGACTCAGTGCAACGACGAGCTATGAGAATTGTCGATGAATCCCAAGCTTACAAGCGGTATCGAACTCTTAAGTCTTAAGAGAGATTTTGCCTTATTCTGCATATTCTACTACTTGTACAATAAACTGTGCTCAGGGGAATTGTTTAATATGATACCCACGGTCACTTTCTACCATCGAACAGCTCGTATCCACAGGGAGTTCACCCTCCTATACCTTAGAGCCTAGAGAAGTGGCTCCTATTACCAGCAAAATGTACTGATTGTTTTTCGCTTTATTGTTGTTTATTTAATTATTAAATGTATGTAATAAATGTTTACTGTAATTATTATTTATTATTGTTGTTGGTAATTTCTAAGGATCAATCTAAAAAGTCTGTATTTTATATACATTAATATGCGTAGAAATACTATAACTATACCTGTTCAAGTATATAAACAATATTAAATTGATCAACTTATTAATTATTTCAGGACCGCGTGTTAAATATCACAAGTCAAATAATGGACCAACTGTTGGGCGACGAGAGGGTGGCACGAGGGTTCCGGGTTAAGTTCCCTGAAGATGTACTCCAAGACAACCTGGCTGGACAATTGTGGTTTGGTGCTGAGGTAAGTTTTATTTTTTAAGAACAATAATTTTATGAAGAATGTCGCCCTGTCTGTGTTATCAGTATGTTTTTCTATATACGTGGGATGACAGGTGAGGATAAAGTCAAGTTCATCACATTTCTAGAAAATAGACTTTTTATCGATTTCTATTTCAATTTTTCAGTGTCTCGCAGCTGGTTCCTCGATAATGAATAGAGAAGAGGAATCGGCAGCGATGCGCCCACTAGCCAGAGCGTTAACGCGGAGCCTCGAAACGGTGCGGTCGCTACTCCGTGAGCAGTGTCTGAGGCCGAGGGAGTTGGCTCTGTCCCAGCACGATGATATGCTGCACGAGAGCTTGAGGATATTTGACAGGTCAGTAAAAAATATAAAAATTGATCTTATTAAATATCTAATAGTTCTGAAGGTCGATGGAGGTATAGTGGTATTCATTCTACATCACCACACGGAACAATTATGACAACTATGATTAATTCAGCAAATTATATGTATGTATAATCATTATGACAATAATGATCTATCTTAAAACGTTGCTTTGTGATCGTTGTAATGTCTTATCGGCAGCTTCCACATAAACTTGCGTTTTCTTTTGGAAAATAGAATATTTTTAAAATTCTTTGGCTTTTACTGACCTTTTCTATATAAAGAGCACCTGTGTACAATTTTATTCGCTGTAGGACAAACTTGGCACACATTTTTAACACAACTGCTATATGTACAGCCAAAATCTAGATTGAGTGATAAGGCTCATCAAAGTTTCAAGGAAATCTGATTATTGTCTATGAATCTTACAGTGGGATGGTGCATGAAGAAATATTTATATTTAAGTTTATAATCAATTTGTTTTATTTTTTTATGTGCTAAATTAGGATTTAAATTTCCCGTGTCCTAAATTTTATTCAAATCCGTTCAGTACTTTTGTCTTTTTTTTTACAACACGGGGCAAACGAGCATGCGGCTCACCTGATGGTAAGTGACTACCGCCGCCCATGATCACCCACAACAGCAGTGGTATTGCAGGTGTGCTGCCGGCCTTTTAAAAAGGAATATGCTCTTTTTTTGAAGTTTGTCGTATCGGACAATATTGTTGTTGTCTGAAAGAGTCATTCATCCATTTATCCGTCGTTACGAAATTTTACATTTCTTATATTAATAGAATTGAAGGTATATCATTACAATTATTTTTTAACAATTCCCGTGGTACTGTTTCCAGATTGTTCGCGGAATTCGAACTGTGCTACGTAAGCGCGATGGTGAACGTGAAGACCCCACACGAGTTCGAAGCTCAGCAGCTTATCTGCGTACTGTTCTCAGAGAGTCTTCGGCGAGCGCTCAAGCAGAACCTTTTAACACAGGAGCAGGTTTGTATTAGTTGGATTTTTACTATTTAATTTTGAAAAGTTGTGGGATCTGATGGGAGGGAGGGTTATTGTAACGAAATTTTAAAATTGGCATCATAGAGAGTCAGTATTAATAAAACATAAATATTCTCAAGACTGTTATCTCTGATAGCAGTAGCCAGTTATACCATCGTCATAATATTTTTTTTTTTTATAATTGTAACATGTCAGCCTTTAACTGTTCATTGCTGAACAGAAGCCTCCCCTTTGGGAAGTTTTGCCAGTACTTGCTACACTTGACAGGCGGGTTGGCAACCGCAGTTAGGCTTTGGAGATGTTTTAAGAGGGACGCTGCTGCCCATTCTTCGCCCATCCTTAGTCGCCTTTTACGACATACACTGGAAAGGAAGGGGTGGTCTGTTCTATGCTGGGATCACATGGTAACATAATTGTATAATCTTTACTAATATTATAACTGTAGAAGTGAGTTTGCTTGGTTTTTGTTACCTTATAGCTCTCTAACGGCCTAACCAACCATTATGAAATTGGGTATACACATACTATATGGGAGGTAGAAGAATGTAGAAGTATATTTTTATCTTGGTCAGTAAATATATCCCTGACATAAACGCTGACAAAGTCGCGGCTGAAAGCTAGTATTTTTTTTTGATGGGTGAAAATGGTATGGTAACAGCCTGTGCTAACGGGATACGCTAGCGAAGCACACGTGAAGGGTGATAGATGAGAATGAAAACCGGCCAGTTAGCTCATCATGATGAATTCATCAAGAATTAACCATGATAGTTTCCAGGGAGAACCGCGAGGAGGTCGACCTGGTTGGGTATATTGCTAGCAATGGGATTCTCAGTCTCCATTATTACAATCCCTTTCCCCCCTGAAAGCTAGTATTTGATGAACTTTAAAATACTTGAACAAAAATTATTAATGTCTTTTTAAATGTATGGTTTCAGGTGGACTCGTACGATCCAGCATTGATGTTCGCTGTCCCCAGGCTGGCGATTGTCAGCGGTCTCCTTATATACTCCAGCGGTCCGTTGAGCATAGACAAACCACCTGGTATGGATATTGAATGACCTTTTCCTTTACAGAACAGAGAACTGTTTATAACAAATCAAAACTGGTAAACAAAATAGACAATTACGCATTCCAAATTTAAATATTTTAATAGTTTCTTTTACTGAGTAAAATGTATTTGTTATAAAACAATCGGATATGTTACATCATTCTATCAAAATAAAAATCACATTAGACATACGTAAGTATATCATGAATATAAAACAATGCATACATATTCATACAACGATATGTAACATATACTTGTATGAATATAATTAAAATAAAAACCAATTACTCTGTTTATATTATGTATTATTTTATATCCATATTCATGTAATGCTTCTCTTTTTATCTACATATTTCATGTAATTGTATGTGGCGGGAACAATAAAGAGTTTTAAATTATCGTTTTCAGAGGAGATGTCGGACATGTTCCGCCCATTTCGAACCCTGCTCCACAAGATTCGCTCGCTGCTGTGGACGCTGGATCGCCGCGAGTTGATGGCGCTCGAGCGGCTCCTCTGCACCAACGAGGACCTATCCAGCCTATCCTCGCTCGATTTGCCTCTAGGTAAGGAATGTAACATGTCGTCTGCATATGGGGTTTATTTATCAACTAGTGTTATATCGTGGTTTTGTTTATTTTTTATTATTATAGTACGACATGTGATCACATCATATTGAACAGACACGGGGGCATCATGGTCCATGAATATGATAAACCGAAAAGAGAATGTTATCTTTATAAGAGAATACTATGTATTATTATTATTTGACTGCTTTTGCCTTATCAATGCATTATTATAGACATATACATATAATTGCATTTTCTGACCAGTATCCCTCCGCAAGTGCACTGTTCACCCTTTTCCCATAAATACTTCATTCTTTTTTTTACCAATTTCCTTTACTTGCTCCTACCATTGTCTTCCTTTTCACTCTATCCTTTTCTTCTTACCGTAGGTGGCGGATACGACCAACAAATGCATTTCGAACCCTACGGTTGACGTTTTTTTTTTAATGAGTGATAATGGTATGGTAATCCCGTCTGCGCTATCGGTATACAATGGCGGGGCACCAGTTATAGGTGACTAATGAAGATTAAAGCAGGTCAGTTAGCCCATCCTGACGAATTCAACTAGAATTAGCCACTATGGTTTCCAGGGAGATCCACGTGGAGGTCGACCTGACAGGGTATATTGCTAGTAATGGGGCTATTTGACCCCATTACTAACAATCCCTTCCCCCCGTAGGGTTGACGTTAGTCAGGCTGCTGTCAAATCAAAAGCCACAACCTTGAATAATATGGATAAAAACTTTGGGGGGAAGGAATTGTTAGCAATGGAGTTTGACAGCCCCATTGCTAGCAATATCAGGTCAACCTCCGCGTGGTTCCCCCTGGAAACCATCGTAAACAATTCTCGTTGAATTCGTCACGATGGGCTGACTGACCTGTTTCATCCTCGTCTATCATCCTTCACTGGTGCCCTATCAGCGTATACCGATAGCGCGGGTGGGGTTACTATTTCATTATCACCTATAAAAAAAAAATGGATAAAAACATAATAATTGGGATAAGGGCAGGAAGATGATGAATGCCATATTGTTATTATAGTTAAATAAAAGCCTGTGGAAATTATTCAGGGTCGGCAACGCACGCGTAATACCTCTGGTATTGCAGGTGTTCATAGGCTACGGTAACCACTTACCATCAGGTGGGCGGTATGCTTGTTTACCACCTCAGTGGTATAAAAAAATATTACAATTGGTTCACCAAGTATAATGGTGTATCTTATTTTTTCATCTAATATGTTTTCCATTTATGTATGTTTATTAAAAAAATAAATGACCCTTTGAGTTTTTGATTTAAGGTGTTTGTATATTATAATTTCAGGCCCTGAAACTAAAAATGAGGATTCATGCCCGTATCCGGACATCGGCGAGTTTGTATCGCGATTCTATGCAGACCATGCGCACTGTCGGGACCTCTACACGCAAAGGTATGGATGCAGTCTTATTTTTTTGTATTAACCCTTTAGGAGTTATTTATTACGCTATCTAGTATGATCGCGTCTCTATTCAGTTAATTTATAAATCTATTTAAGCTGGTGACACACTTCGAATATCTAAAAAAAATTATATTATACATACAAATTATAAAGTCGTCATAGTCGTAGAATACTGACGGATCTGACAAAGAATACATATAAAGATCCGTCAGTATTCTACGACTATGACGAAATGTCTTTTATAGTTTAGTGATTGCCTTACTTTTTGTATTAAACATTCATATCTTTTTTTACAATATATTTTATAACATTTTTTGTAGTAAAGTGATAGATATTTGACATTACTTATAAATATTTCGTCATTTTTGTGTATGTGTTTATTAGTCGCTATTTTTGCGAAGCACTAAAATTTCACTTTCAAGTCTTTTTTAATATTTTTTTTTATAGAATTTAGAATGGCAAACAAGCTGACGTTCCATCTGATGGAAAGTGGTAACCGTCGTCTATAGACTACACTAGACACTAGACTATAGTATACTGTTTCGTCCATGATACCCCCCATGCGTTGCCATTCCTGAGGACTCAGATGTTATTCCTCTGTACCCTGTAAATTCACGCCATATCCCACCCTTCAAACCGAAACACAGCCATGCAAACACAACTGCTTCACAATAAAAACACGAATGGGACAGACGTACCCAAGCAATCGACTTTTGTACAAAGTCTCCCTCTGGTAAATAGTAATTTATGATTTATACTATGACTGTATTTTTCTATCTGCAGCTCCAGCGAACCAACAATAACGGACGGTGACTACCTACCTGACAATATAGAAGTGATGACGCCCATCATCGACGGCTTACGACGGCTCAACAACGACACAGACTCTGAACACGAATCGAACCGACACTCTGCTGACACGACCAGTACTGATACATTCCAAACGAACGACAACTTTCTAGATACTAGACGGAAAACCAGCAGAGCAGAGAGCAGTGATATTTCCAATGATAATTTCATGGAAGCGACCAGAAGAAAGTCGACCCGCGAGAGCAGCGATCTCTCATCGCTCCGTAATCTGTCGACGAATGGTCTAATGATGTTCGATCCTTTAGTCATCAACGCGGCCGCGTCGACGTCCACCGAACGGCCATTGCCTGACAATGATCTAGTGACGTCACTCAACGAGCAAGTAACGGAAATTACCGATCGCTTGTCCTCAATCGTAACTAGTGATGTCGAATTGGATCACAATCAGAAATCGTTCTCCACGAACGACGTACCAACCCTTATAACGAATGACGGTGAACCGTTCGGTTACAGTGGACCCAGGAACGAGCAGCTAAGCGGTATGCCATCAACTAGTCACGGTTACTTAATACCGAACGCGATCAGCCAAGAGCCCGTCGTCATGTCGTTGTCACACAACAATTCTGCAATTTTCAATCAGGACACTGAAAATTTAGATATTAATAATTCTATAATGAACTCTGATCTCCCACTTATAATTCCAGACAATATTGATACTCAAATCGTAAATACAAACATATCTATAGCTAATGCTAATTTAAGTTCTCTACTATTAACCAATGAAGAGTTCAGGCAAAACTTCATGGAAGAGAATGCAGACGACAATACGAGTTTTCATTCCGCCAAAATGACTATTGATAGAGAAGAAGACGAAAGGGTTAAGTTTATGTTAGGTTATGAAAGTGAACATGAATCACCTGTGGATTCTGGGGTTAGTACAGAAAATACTAGTTTAGATAGGTCTCCCGATACAGAACAGAGTAAAGATATAAAAGAGAATCACTTCATGCAACAGAACAGGGTATTAGAAAGTCCTGACGAGAAAGACACCAAAAACACACTAGAAAGTTCCTTTTCAGATGTAAATAATGATGTTGTAAATATAAATTATGTAGAGCAGGACACTATGAAGAACGAAGCTGGCTCTTCTAGGATAGATGTATTAAATAGACTAAGTTCAGACGAGGAAGGGTTGAATGAAGCGACCAATGTTAAAGTTCAAGACTGCTGCGTCGATCCTACCGAAGACGAATATATGACTATAGATGAAGTGCTTACAGAGTTAAGGAGACATAGAGTAGCTGATACAAAGATTAGTTCGTTAGTTGAAGACAATAATGTTAGTTCTAGCACGGACGTAGTTCCGGATTCATCTCAGAGTAGTTCTAGACAGAAGAGTCGGAAGTCAGGTAGTAAGAGTAAGAAGAAGAAGAGTAAAATGTGGTCACCGGGAATGGTTATATTGGATAATAGGTCCACACAAAACCAAAATCCGTTGAGGTTAAATTTGGATCATTTTGTTGATGAAAGGTGGGTTTCGATATTTTTATTATTCTTTCTCTGTATAGTTAAAGAGATTTTGATATATTTAAAAATATAAAAATTTCAATATTCTAATATTTATTATTTAATTAAAATCGAAACAGGCGAGAATAATATGTAACTGCTTGTAGAGTTTTCAAGTGTAGGTATAACAATAAATAATACGTTTACATTGTAAAATGTCTTAGAAAATAATACTGCCATAATCAGGATTCTTATCAAATTTAGATACCTTCTAGATAAGTTTAACACATTATACAAGGTAATACCATATGTTAAATTCCAAAATGTTCATAATTCTCATAATATATTTATACTATTTCATCGATATAAGAACAAGTTTTTTTAATAATTTTTTTTTAATATTTCAGTGGTACATCGTGCGGTACGTCTGAATGTGCTGATGATGAGCAAATTGCGTTGGCTCTACAAGCGCAGGAGTTGGCGGCCAGGCAGCAGGCGCGGGGAAAGTTCAAGTATGTCAATATTAACACAGAATATTTTATGTATTGGTTTTAAAACCAATACATAAAATACTTTAATACAATACATACTTTACTTAAGTAAAGGTTTTAGTAATGCCCTGAGTGTTCAATAAAATTCTAGTTCTGTGTAAATTTAAAAATTACAGTTATTTATATAAATAAAAAAAAATCCCTAAGCATGTTACAAATTGGAATTATGTTTTTTTTAATGAATTAGTATGGGTCAGTAAAATTTTTTGTTATTTTTGATTTACAAAATTTCCGTCTAAATATGTACTACAAAAGAAATAAATTCTTAGTTTTACCACACCCCAGACACTTTATGCAGAAACGCCACTATCCATACTTGCTACAACTACAGAAACTAGTTACGTCTGTACATGTGACAGTAATAGTTTTTATGCTAACGAGTGTTTGAGAGGAGGTGAGGTCATATCACAGCGAGTGACAGGGAGTATCCATACTGTACTTTAGATCTATTACTTATACTGTGGTTTAATTTAAATATATTCAATTAATTACAGGTCCAGCGAAGATCTAATACACCGTTTGTTTGTGTGCATCGCGGGCGTCGCCGACCAGCTGCAAACGAACTTCGCCGCGGATCTGAGGAATATTCTCAAATCCGTGTTCGTTATGAACCAAACCCCGGATGTGCCGGATATTCCGGATCCGCCGCCGGATGTTAAGTCGGATAAGTCGCCTACTATAGAGTACGAGGCAACTGAGGATCAAGTAATACAGAATGGTGGGTTGAAATTATACTGTCATTCGCTTTGCTTGTGTTAAATATGGTGTATAGGGGGGAAAGGGATTGTTAGTAATGGAGTTTGGGAATCCCATTGTTAGTTAATATACCCAACCAGGTCGACCTCCTCGCGGTTCCCCCTGGAAACTATCATGGTTAATTCCTGATGAATTCATCATGATGGGCTAACTGAAAAAAAAATATGGTGTATACTGTATAATATATATATATATATATATATATATATATATATATATATATATATATATATATATATATATATATATATATATATATATATATATATATATATATATATATATATATATATATATATATATATATATATATATATATAATATACAAAGATTTACAGAATGTGCATAAACCTTTTGTTTATGCTAGGCCTTATGGCTAAAAGCAATCTCTCACAGACAGCCTGGGAATATTCTATTCCACTTAGTAATATATGTCAATCACACCTCCTCAGACTCACTGTATGTATGTGTTTACGATTGCAGGCAGCTCATTTGACAGCGTGTATTCTGCAGAAGAGGTATACGCCGATAGCACATCCGATTCTACGCCGTCGGAATCGAATTCGCGATTGGTGCGGCGGAACACCGTCAACGCGACCACCCTCGCTGCGGAGCAGGCGGCAGACAGTAGAAGGAAGTCAGTAGATAATACAAGTAACCTACAAGCTTCCGTGTCCACTGGTGATCTCAGTTATAGGTTGGTATATACATTTTTTTCCTTAGTTCTCAAGAATGATATTTTTTTTATACAACTTAGAATAGCAAACAAGCTGACGGCCCACCTGATGGAAAGTGGTAACCGTCGCCTATAGACATGAGCAGTACCATGGACATAACAGAGTATACTGTTTCGCCCATGATACCCCCCATGCGTTGCCATTCCTGAGGACTCTGGTGTTATTACTCTGTACCCAGTAAATTTCACGCCATATCCCACCCTTCGAACCGAAACACAGCCATGCAAACACAACTGCTTCATGGTTGAAACACGAATGGGACATACCCAAGCAATCGACTTTTGTACAAAGTCTCCCTCTGGTATAATATGATATAATTACTAGATTTTGACAGAGGGTACACAGATGTATGTCACATATATTTCTTGAATAAACACATTAGATATTCAGGCATGGTACAAAGGTGGATTATATTATTTTGAGATAACACTGCATGCTAAGTTTCATTCATATATTTGCATGCCATTTAATGTGGCGAAACATAATGGACATCTTATAAACTTCACAAATGCAACACCTTTTCTACAATGTTTCTAGCAAATAAATTTCATTTCATTTAAATTCGTACAATATTTTTAGCAATAAAGTAACAAAAAATCCAAATTTCTTTACAAATTTTCACATTTATATTAATTAATATTACACAAAGAAAATGACAAAGTAATACATTAGTTAATTAGAAAAAAAAATGTTGGTAATTCATCTTAAACTACGTTAATATATGAGGTGAGGTCCTCATAGACATGGACAATATACGTGTAAAGGTGTTCTTAGAATCTAAAAATATTTTTTTTTTATATTAAAAATTTGTCTGTATCATTAGGGAGGAGCGTCGGGTAGCGCAGACCACAGACGCTACTAGTACAGATGCAAACACGGGCACCGGCGTAGAACGACTGCCGGAGTGGGTGCCCGATATCGCGGCAGCCGCCTGTATGCGCTGCCAGGCTCATTTCACCGCCTTCCGTCGCCGCCACCACTGCCGGAACTGTGGTATGTTAGCCTGCTGTTATTATAGACGAGTTTTTTTACATTACGTATTTTAGCACAGAGTAAGCAATAAACTGATTATTGTTCACAACGCTTTGGGCATGTTTTAAATGTTTACATTATAATTTAAGATAATTTATTTCAAGACATGTCCGTTTGATCGACTGCTGGAAAACAGTTCTTTCGACTGTGATCGAATTCGACCCGACTTTATTTGAAAATTTAATGAAACGAATAAGGTCTAAGGATGAGTTGTCAGTAAGCGCTCGCGGTCGTTTATATGACGTTGGTAAGATGTAACCTAGCCGATTCTCTAAATTGGCTTTAAAAGTGGATTTATTTAAAAAACCGATCGAATTTAACAAAATGAGTCATTTTGATTAAAAAATGCATCAAAATCCTTTCACTGTTAACATAGATATTATATAGATACACTTTTGTCATGTGTTCTTAGTTCAAAATCTTCCAACATTGTCTAACTCAGATTTCAATAAACTGCCAAAAATCTTATGACATGGCGATTATGATGGCAGCATTTATTACAGCGAATACTTCAATCTGCATGCTTAATGTCAAATTTCCTCTTATCTAAATAGATAAATCTAAATATATTCCCCCACAAGTGTATATAAATATATTTATTTCAGGTAAAGTATTCTGCGCATCCTGCAGTTCGAACTCCATACCTCTCCCTCGTTACGGCCAAATGAAACCAGTTAGAGTGTGCGAAGAGTGTTACCAGTCGACAACTAACAACCGGCGTCCACAAACGTCCCAGCACCGGTGAAACAACAATACTGGCTCTGTCTAGAGCCTACCGGTAACTTAGGCCCGTGTTATGGTATTGGTATTTTAGAATTACGTCTAGCGAACCAGTAACGTAGAATTGAATTCTATAATTTGGTACTCTCTAAATAGTTTGGTCCAAGAGCTCCATCAACAAGAGTGCAAATCTTAAATAGAAAAAAAAAAAGTTTGGCACCGTAGTTTGATTTTTAGACGCAATTAGTCTTTAATAACAGTGTATGAGGGGTACTATGGACGTATTCTATATTGTCTATGCTATTGGTCATGTCACTTTACTCCAAACGAAAGATGGTTACTTTTTCCCAGTAAGTAATACATCAGCTTGATTCTTTTTTCAATTTGTATAAAAAATCTAATTGTGATAAAGTCTCTAGCATGACTTGTATAGATATTTATCTTCCTACTGTGTTCACGTTTATGTCGAATTTATATGGAAACATGAGTTTCCGAAACCATTCGCTAGAGGCGTTGTTAAGTTTTGCATACAAATTATCAACGAAAACTTTAACCTAAATCTGTGTTAAATTCTCACTGGGCATTCAAATCGAAAAATATTGAATAGACGTCAAATACCGTAGGTTCATTTAATATCTATTCGTTTTGTTTCCAATTTAATCGATTCAAAAGGTAACTTGCTTGTGTATTGAACTATTCACTTCAAATTAGTCTATAATGTGTAAGTATTGCCCTATATCTCTTTGTTGGTGTCTTAGGTTCGTATACAATCTCCGGAAGATTAGATCCTAAAAAGTAATTGCGAGTAATTAAACCAAATCAGACGCTTGGGGATTATTACGTACCCATACTTTTTGGGTCATTTCACGCTCTATTACTCAATATGTTATCGCTTCTGCATGCATTATAATGCAATCCACTTACTTCGCAGTTTCGTTCTATATTTTGTTTGCGAAAGCTAAAGTTTGCTATTTTCCATCCTAATTCTAACCTATGTGTGCTTTATGCACATACGAGAGAAAATGAGAGGGTTTTGTCCGTAATGTAATAATTATATCATGCTTGCGGTAGCGTAAACGTATCAACAAATAGATTTGTTGCCTTGCTAGATCAGATCTGGACATAGGTAATTAGGTAATTTAGGCCCGTGTTTAACGTGATAGATTGACGTCTAGATAATACTCGTAGTTATTTGGATCTAAATTTAGAGACTACCGATAGATAACTATTTTGAAATACCAATACCATAGACTTGGTATTAAGCTGTGCCGGTAACTTGGCCCATATTTACTGCTTACAGGTAATTTAGGCCCGTGTAACTTTTCCATGGTTTCGCATAGAAATAAGTAATCACTTTTAAATTTTAAAATTTAACAAGAAAACTAAACAAATTATATGCTTAAGTACAAATATACATGAAATGTTTACATCTTGAAATTTATCTTTGACTTTTAAAATTGACATAGAGTTTGAGCTTACTTCTATATGAGGGCGTAACCAAAAATATTTAAAAATGTCTAGCAACTACAGTCGTAAGCATGCTTCTTTTTTTTTTTACAAAAAACTACTGTTTATTATTATTATTTAATAGTTTACAATTAACAATTTGCTGTTTATAAACGTGGTGAATGTGACAGGTTACCAAGACCTCGGAAAAATACTTTTAAAAAATATTTTAACTATAAAAAATATCATTTAAGACGAATATTACATTGGTTTCGACTTCAAAATTTTTATACTGTCTTTTACAGTAGATACAGTTGAAATGTCAACTGTCATTCGCACCATGTTACAATGTACAGAGAATAGACAATATACCGGGCCTTTCGTCCACATAATCCTGTGTCGCAGTAAATATATGGAGTATTAGCTATATATATAAATATTTATATCGTTAATCGTTGACTAATGCTGTTATTGTATATGACAAATCTTTTTCCATATTGACTGATGATTAAAATTACGTATAAATTTAGGTAGCTCTCTAATATTGTTGCTACAATTGTTCGTTATTATATTCATTGTATTGTCGTTACTTGCCAGCCAATGTATACTTATAGTTTATAATTCGTAACTCTGTTCATTTATAACATAATCATATATTTTTTTAAATATTTTTAATGCGTCACCCTGTGTTTAGGAGTCCTTAATTATAAATAGGCTCAAAGATTTACCTTCAAGCAATTTGATCTGATGGGATTCGAACTCACATCTTTACTATCCGACCTGATTCTGTTCTCAATCACATCATATTGAGTGGTCGAAGGTAATTTTTTTAATTTATTAAATTTATTAATTACCTACCTACTACTTTTGCGCTAGCTTAGTGTCTAGGTATGGAGTTTTGTTTTAAATTTACTGTTTGCAGTGGGCATTTGCTGATTTGTTCCGTAGACTATCATATAACATCCCAGGGATAAATAGGATTTGTAGACACATTGTATGCTCTGTTACTATACAATAGTCTCCGTCACTGTCCAATAGTACTTCTTATATAGGCTATTGTTTAAAGTTATAAAAAGGAAAGATTTGATTTTATTTTCTAATAGATAGACACAATTTTTTTATCGATTAAAAAAATTATCTATAGAAAGATATGTTGGGACCGATTCTGACGTGAAATTTCTCTAAACCTACCTCTTAACCTAATATTTTAATTTATTAATTTTGCGAAACTTATAGACCATCATGAACTAAAATTATAATAAATTTGATTTAAATCTATTACAAATGTAGTTCATTTTGGTCCTTAGAATAAAGATTTCATTGCGATACCAAATTTTAATTTTAATTTCAGAGATAGGTTTATTATGACGAAATGGTACTTCAGAATCGGCCCTACTATCAGCTAATAATATGGGTTATATTTGATTAAAAATACTATGCGAAGCTTTAGATGCGATAAGTCATTAGTTTCTTTTATATTATTGACCCTTTCCCGCAGCATCACTCCTACCTAACAATTAACTGTCCTCGTAGAAATTTTCGAAATTGCATGGTTTCATGTAATTTGTGTTCAAGTTTTTTCACTGTTTTCGAATGTAATAAATATATTGGCGCCCGCAAGTAACGCATTTTCGCCCCAACTGTCTAGATAAAGTAGAAACGTTCAAATAAATATATTTTTAATTATCTATACATACATACATACATACATTATAAAGGATGTTTATATTTTTAAAATCCATTACCTTTAATAATAAAATAATAAATTTTAAAATTATTATTATTATGAATTAAATAAAAAAATACTTTTTAAAAAAGATTCCATAATTTTTATATTCAATCAAGTTAGTATTTTAAGTATATAATATATGTAAATTTTGTATAGGTTATAATAGAGCTTACGTAATCGTTTGATATTGTTAGTACGGTTTTCACAAGTTCATGTATATTCTAGTAATTATATGTCAATGTATCAATATAATAATGTTATACTTGTATTGTAAACCTGTAAATATAATTCCATCTAATTAGATAATATTGGTAGTTTCATTTTCCTAGACTTCTTCATACTTCTATCACATTTTTATTATTCATACTAATATTATAAATGTAAGTTTGAAGCGTTATAGCGCCTTAATGGCTTAACTAATCTATGAAATTTAATAATTATGTTCTATATTGAATGGAGAAGGACATAGGCTACTTTTTTTTTTTATTCAACTTAGAATGGCAAACAAGCTGACGGCCCACCTGATGGAAAGTGGTAACCGTCGCCTATAGACATGTAATTTTAATAAGTATTAATAATTTTATAAGTATTAATTTTAAGACATAAAATTAATACTTATAAAAAAATTGCAGTAGCAGTGTTAAAGAATATTGCTTCAACCTATTACTTAAAAATGCTAGCGTTAATTTAGGTTTTCAGTCTTACCCATTTTAAATGTATCGATTGAATAAAAATGTTTTATATTCATTCAGTATATTTAAAATGGAGGGAAAAATATTTAAAAGGCTATAATTTTTCTTATTTTCATTTTTTATATCATGAAGGTGGCAAACAAGTTTATAGGTATTTTTTTTTGATGGGTGAAAATGGTATGGTAACCCCGCCTGCGCTAACGGGATACGCTGACGGAGCACCGGAGCACCAGTGAATTCATCAGGAATTAACCATGATAGTTTCCAGGGAAAACCGCGAGGAGGTCGACCTGGTTGGGTATATTGCTAGCAATAGGATTCTTAGTCTCCATTACTAACAAGCCCTTTCACCCCAATTTAAATTATTTACTTGATACTATAGATTAATCATATCAAACTAATGTTCGAGTTACGAATACCGAACGTAAAATAACAGATGGCAAGGAACTTAAAGTCCACAAGAGGTTTGTGGTAAGAATTATTACTGATATTTTTATGGAATTAAAATGGAATGGTGTCTGCTTGCGCTATTGATATACGCTGGCAGAGTACTAGCGAATTATTATAGACGAGGCGAGAATGACGTTAGTTCACTGGGCATCATAACAAATTCACCAGGTATTAGTTACAATACTTCAAGCAGATTAATTGGAGGTGTAATGAAATCGTTAGCATCTTTCGAAGGCAGTGTTCCGTCAGCAAAACTAAATATTTTCATAAAAGAAACATGGTGCAAAGAAAAGAGTTTTGAGCTTTCATATTAAAATAGCGCTTTTGACGGTTGAGTTAGTGTGAGAGGCCTATTATATATTTTGATTTCACAAAATTATATTGGTTTTAACTAACGACGAAAACACATCCTTCTGCTTTCTTCTATCACCCTTTTATTACCGTACTTCTTGCCATAGAGCTGAAATTCACTCACATTTTTTGCGTGAGTAGCACACTACCATTGTACCTCACTGAACTCAAGTCACCTCAGCGGCTTGCGTTGAAGACGTCAACCATATGTACGTTATTGTTGGATACAATAAATATGTGCCAACAAAAAAGATAGCGCAAAATGAGTGTATGAAGAAAAAGGTCGTATTCACCTGTGTGCCTAAAGGCAAGTGTAATTATTGCTTTATTAAATAAAACCAGCCAGGTATGAGTTCAATTATGGTATTTTTGATATATGTGAAAAATATCGTTTTATTTTCCCTGTAATTTTTACATATACCTTTCTAATGGTAATTTTTTCTTACATTTTTTATTATAAATAAAAAATCACGAATCACAAAACAAATGTAGCCCTATTATATGATAACCTACTAGGACGAATAGGATTATTTTTAAATTTCGAGCATCCTCTTTGGACGCCCAGTAAAGTTTTTATCAGTATAACGGTCTGCTTCCATGATTCGTCACAAAAATAAAGAATATATAACAAAGGGAAAAACAAAATAATATCAGCGCCTCTAACAGTGGATAATGTAGCTATTTTAAGATAGGATCAGTAATGTTTAACCATATTCTGAAGTGGCCGTGTGTTTAACTTTTCATATTGTCAAGCGCTGGTTATTTATTGGTCTGGACAGACTGCATCATGATGTGGGCAGAAAGTGTTTTGAAATGAGAAAAATGGCTATATTTCATGAATTAGAATTGAACGCGCCTGAACCTAAATGGTTACGTACCATTGTACGGTTTTAAAGGAATTTTCTCCTGAACACTCAGGCTGTGGAATGAGCTCCTTGCTAAAATTTCTCTAGAAACTACAATATGGGGTTTTTCGAAAAGTATATATTAAGGTTTCTAGGGTAACTAGGGTTGGCAACGCGCACGTGACACCCTTGGTGTAGTAAGTGTTCATAGACGTTTAACAGTAACCTTTTACCATCAGATGGGTTGTATGCATGTTTGCCATCTCCGTGGCATAAAAAAAATATTTTTGGCCAAATCATGAAGTGATAAATTTTCGAAAGTTCTGGCCACGACATGTATAAACTTGCAACATTAAACTGTGTACACTACACGTACGAAGGAGATACATATGTCGATCCGTCGAGATCGAATATTGTCCAAGAAATACGTCACCGGAACTGATTTGAATATCTACGTGAGACGAATTTATATGTATGTACCTAAGAAGGATAGGGACTAAGGCTATGGCACTGTATTTACACTATCTAAGTATCTACTCGTATATAGACTATAAGAGAGAAGGGTGTACCTTATTTTTTTTAATATAGTAACTTCAAAGATTTATTAAAACATTTTATTTTGGAAGGCTTTGTTAAATAAAGAAATGAAATTAATATCTCCTTACAACCAAACTGCTGTTAGTTTCTGATTAAAACAGAGAGTTCTATGGTATCGATGGATTCATTTGTCACTAAATATATGATGAAATCTACCAATAGATACAATGTCGCTATCTAGTGCAAGAAGTGGAACGAGACAGCAAAGTTTTTTTTAATGGGTGATGATGGAATGGTAACCCCACCCGCGCTATCGGTATATACTATCGGGGCACTAGTGAGTGATGATAGGTGAAGATAAAGCAGATCAATTAGCCCATCGTGACGAATTCAACAAGAATTGTTCTCGATGGTTTCCAGGGAGAACCACGTGGAGGTCGACCTAATAGAGCATATTGCTAGCAATGGGGCTGTCAAACTCCGTTGCTAACAATCCCTTTCCCCCCGAGACAGCAAAGTTAGACGTCGTTTGTTGTCAATAAAGCTTTCTTTCATCGTTTTGTTTTATCACATGCTTCGCTACATAAAACATAAAGAAAGATAGATCTCCAAAACCTCATTTTATGGTAGGTTTACAAATAAAAATAATTAATAAATATCCTACTTTATGTGAAGAACTACTATATAATATTATTTATATATAATATTATTTATATATAATATTAACTATTATGAATGCAAACATTTGCGAGGTTATTTGAATGAAAGGCTTTTTATTTACTTTTTCACGCAAACACCATTGAAAGGATTTGAATGAAATTTGGCACATGGATAGATTATATCTTGGCATACTCGTATACGTATAGGATATTTTTTAATTATTGATTCGCGCGAGTGAAGCAACGGTATATATTTTTTTTTATGTAACTTAGAATGGCAAACAAGCTGACGGCCTACCTGATGAAAAGTGGTAACCGTCGCCTATAGACATGAGCAATACCGTGAACATAACAGAGTATACTGTTTTGCTCATAATACACAGGATATAGCTAGTATAAAATAAATGAAAATATTTTTTAATAGGTACAAACGAATCACAATTATACCTGATTATAATTCAACAATTGTCTGTACTATAAATGTTTATGGACATTGAAGAGCTCATAATCAAAATAAAGGTATCGCGGGTATTGTCATTAAAATTAATTTATCAACGTCATTTCTAAAAGGAGGGAGTTTCAGTTTATTTTACCTGCCGGCTTCATAAGTCAACAAAGGCTTTTTGTTAAATAAAATTCATTTAGGAATTCAATGTTTTGTGTTGTTGTTATCGTTTTATTCTTAAACGTTAACGCTGTGCTGTCTCGGTAATATTTTATTTATTTAACAATACAATAAAAATTATTTCCTATTTCATGCATAATTAAATTAAAGATTGCGCTACACAAAAAAAAAAAAAAGATTTCATTTGTGACAAAACCAGTTATTTTGATACAAAAAGTAAACTGCTGAACATATTTAGATAATTTTTATGGGACCAATCTATAAGTGAAATGATATATATCACATAAAAAAGAAATTTTCAAATCGGTTCAGAATTAACGGAGTTATGAGGTAATAAATATAAAAATACAACCGAATTGAAACCTTCTTTTTAATGTCGGTTGATTATATTTAAATTATGTATTAGCTATTGCCCATAAACTTTGTACGCGTACTATCTTAATACTTAAATACTTTCTTAGTGTAACTTCAAGGTGTACTTAATATATTCTATGTGTTAAGTTAGAGAGTAAAGAGTGATAACCTAATACATGTGTTGATTATAATCTACCCGTGTGGGGTGAAAGGAATTATTAGTAATGGACTCTTACAGACCTATTGCTGGCAATACACCATGTCAAGTCGACTTGTATGCGGTTTTCCCAGGAAACCATTTTGGTGAATTTTTGTTAAATTTATTACGAGAGTCTGACAAACCTATTTTCATCTTCACCTATCATCTCTTATTACACTTACCCCGCCAGCGCAAACTGATAGCGTAGGAGGGGTTACTATTTCATTTTCACGCATTATAAAAAGTACTGTACGTATAAGTATGCCAAATTTCAGTACAATCAAAAATTATTGCTAATAAATTATTAGATTGCTAATTTTGAATGGAAAAAAATTACGTATGTAAAGCTCGTTACTTCAGTATTGAAGTAACTTAAAGCTTTAATTTTTTTTTTTATTATTTTACAGCATACGAGTTTAACTATGAAAATATTGGAAAGTGGTCATACGTCGATATAGCAGTTGTCAAAGTGGACACAGCTTTTAATTTCCTGGATCCAGTGTACACCACGTATTGTTCGTACGCGCCAACTTCTATTCCCATGAAATGCTCATCGGGGTGGCCTCTGTGTTTTAAGTTACCTCAAACTCCACC